ACTGAAATTTATGAGTAGAATTCTTTTAATGCGATTTATAAGTCGCATTCGCTTTTGCAATTTATAAGACACATTCATTTAATGCGATTTATAACTGATTCACAATTATATTTCGCTTTCACCAAATGCGATTTATTAGTCATTCGTCAAAGCGATTTAATATAAAGGTTTTATAAAGTTCTAAATCTCCTAACCTTGATTTTAATTCTCTATTGTTGCAAGCGAAAATTCATTTCTATGCTTCGAACAAAAAGAAATTGCAATTTCTGAGCAATTGACACGTTTGTTTTGTCCTTTTTTTTTTTTTTTTTTTTTTTTTGTAAAATGATTTGTTGTACATTCATCTCCGACCAAGATTACTTTGAATCAACCTTTGAAGTTTTTCTAAAATTATATAAAATTTGATTAGTTGTCAAAAGATCACTCCACTCTTTCAAAAGAAATATGTGATCATCGATTGGAATTTCTTACTTTCAGGATGCTAATATGAGATATCTAATATTATTTAATGGAGGTTTGATCTTTAGCTTTAGTATGTATCCCATGTCAATTTTTGATTACATCTGCCCAAGGTTTCTCTGCTTTCATACATCACAACACACTGATTGTTTTGGTTAATCATATTAAACATAGAAAAAAATTACTCATCAAATTATCTATCTTGTCATGAGATATTATCGGCATATTATTATTCAAGGGAAATTATTTTCTTTGGCTTTGATTTTTCAATTCGTTAAGAATATTTTTAATCGCAATAGTTATAAGTTGTAGTACTTTTATATTCTTCAAATATATTGATAAGGCACGGGAGAAGCATCATCCTTATAAGATGGCTGCCAAACAAGAACAATATATATTTTTCACATTCAACTATGAGAATGTTTTTTATTTAAAAATTTTAAGAAACTAATTTATAATTTATACAGACACAAAAAAAAAAAAATGTTTAGATGTGTTGGACTCTTGTATTTCGCTATATCTTTTTTTTTTTTTAAGAAGTAAAAACAATGATGAGTTTGACTCTTACATTATTGATACATCATTCTTTTTGAGATAGTAAGCGTAATAATAAGCCTCATTATCTTAGGTATTTCACACATATACTCAACTTCCACCTATATTTTGTAGTGAGGTTCAACTATTTATTGAACTTCAAGTTTGTGGATGAACAGGAATATGAACACTTTCCACAGACTTTGCCAACTTGTTAATCGAAACCTTGTAATCTCTAGAAGTCTTAAATACCTCCATTGTAATAACATCACTTTTGACAATCTGGATAGACCTCTAACAGTATTAGCAAAGTCGCACCCCCCTTCCACGACCCAAATATTATGGTATAGCCAGTTTTCACACTGGTCAATGAAAAATAGCCACTATTTTGCTGCAACAGGGACCGGTCCAGTATAATATACGGGAGTTCTGGTGCATTTGTGTACGAACTCCAGCATATTATGCTGGACCGGTATACTTTGCTAACTCCTGTAAAATTTGCGGGAGACTGGAGCACCAGTGCTCCAAACTCCAGTATATTATACTGGACAATTATACTTGCTGGAACTCCCGTAAAATTTGCGGGAGTTCCAGCATAATTATGCTTGAACTCCCGTAAAATTTGCGGGAGTTCCAGCATAGTTATCCTGGAACTCCCGTAAAATTTACGGGAGTTCAAGCATACTTATGCTGGAACTCCCGTAAAATTTGCGGGCGTATTTTTCCGGATTTTGAACAGTATTTTCGCTCAGATTTAAAGTGGCTAAATTTCAATGACTTTTGAAACTTGGCTATTTTTCAAGGACCAGTGGTAAATCTGGCTATTTTTGAATTTCTCGGCTTAATATTGACGGGGCATTTGCTGTGAAATTTATGTAAGGGGGTATAGGGGGCGTATTTAGAGATAGTAATGGGAATTGGATACTAGGATTCAGCAAAACCATTTATGGTCCTACTCCGCTATTCATGGAACTCCAAACATTATGATATGGAGTGCAACTAGCAAATGATCACAACTTGATCCACCTTCAAATTGAAACGGACTCAACATCCATACCAACCCTACTTGAAACTTCAAATTATCCACCCTATAATGCACTAATCTCTGCTTGCAAATACTGGCTGAGAAGGTTGGGGAATCCACCAATCCAACATAACTTTCGAGAAAGAAACCAAGTAATATATGAACTAGCACAACAAGGAGTTAAGCAAGCCAATGTCTACTATTCCCAAGTCTATCCATCCATACCAGAGTTCCTAACATATGTAATCCAAGCAGATAAAGAAGGCATCCTTACTACTAGGATCAATACCACTAATGTTATTGTTTTAAATAATTTGGCTATTCTTGAAAACTCTACTATGCCATCTTTTGGCTGGAATAGTTCTAGTACTAGTATAAATATGTCTGCTTCCCATGGGAGGACAATGTACTGTAACTCTCCTAACAAGTTTCTAATAAACTATCTTTTTCTACCAAAACAAAAAAAAAAAAAAAGAAAACTTCAAGTTTATATCAAACTCTTACAATTTTTTACTATTCAACTTCAATTTAAATTATTTTTACAATTTAACTCAAAATAGTCCAAACACCTATTTAACACTCCCTTTAGTTCAGTTTAAGTGATTTTTTTGGCTCTTTTCACATATATTAAAAAATTCACCTTTTAACATTAATTAACAATGAAATTGACCATATTAACCTTAATTTGTTCATTGAAAATATAACAAACTACTCCTAGGCTCTTTACTCCAAGAGCAACTTTGGAAAGAAGAAGTTAATTTTTTTTTTAATATCTGAAAAAATCAAATATTATGAACCACAAAAAATATCAAAAAAATCACTTAAAATGAATCCGAGGAAGTATTTATTATGGTTTGAGAGGCTCATCATTTGCTTTATATACCCAAAAACATCAACCCATGGGTTAACAACAGACAAAAGTTGTTCTTGAAATTTTCATTATTGTCCCTTTTTGGATCAATGGCTCAGTAGATGATTTCGTAATTGATGGACCTTTTAATATCATTTTTGAGCAAATTGAAATCGTATAAGAAAATATAAAGCTACGATCTAAAATTTTAAAAAGTATTACGAACGGTTATACTACAATTTTATATTTTATAGCAAACATACCCGAGTTTAATGTTGTTCGAAATTCCGGGTGAAAATCATTTATCCTCCCCAACTTTGTGTTAAAAATCAAACTCCCCCCTCAACTTTGAACAATGATCGTTCTCCCCCTTTATCGTACACAATACCTTTTTTGCTCTTGAATTTTCAATTTCCTTCTCAATTCAATACTTTTTTATTATATGATATTTTTTTTTATGGTTTTAGCTATACTTAAATTATGTAATATCTATTATAAATTGTAATTAGAGTTCATTAAAATTATAAGTAGAATAAGTAGTCAGAGTCAATTAAAATTACCTTATCTTTATGATTGTTATTTTAATGTAATGCATATTAAATATATATTTAAGTTATATTTTCTTAGCAACGAAGCTAGAAATTCATATAAGAGGATGGAAAAATACCCCAATTTTTTTTTAATTTCGGATTGAACTTGTGAGCTAAGATAACTTGGGGTGCTTTTCAATCCTCTTATATGAAAAACACCCCAAGTTATCTTAGCTCACAAGTTCAATCCGAAATAATAAAAAAATTGGGGTATTTTTCAATCGTCTTATATGAATTTCTAGCTCTGTCGCTAAGAAAATATAGCTTAAATATATATCTAATATGCATTACATTAAAATAACAACCATAAAGATAAGGTAATTTTATTGGACTCTAATTAATTACTTATTCTACTTATAATTTTAATGAACTCTAATTATAATTTATAATAGATATTACATAATTTAAGTTATAGCTAAAACTAGGGGTGTTCACGGTTTGACGGAAAACCGATCCAAACCGAAAATCGAATCAAACCGATTAAGTAAACCGATATTTTTTTTGATTTGGATTGGTTTTGGTTTTAAATTTTAAAAACCGATAATATTTGGTTTGGTTTTGGTTCTATTTTAAAAAACCGAAAAATAAACCGAACCAAACCGATTAATTATATACAAAATTTAATAATTATTTATATACAAATATAATATCTTTTTGTTAATAATTTTAATTGTTATTTTGAATTTTGGTTTATCCTATTATATCTTAAAAGATTGCAGCCCAAAACAATAGGATTCGACCAATTTTCTTTTCATTAATAAACTCTAATTCTCTAACCTCCGCACATACTTTTGCCTAAAAGAAGAGTTACAAAAAAACCACCACAAGAGTAAAGAAAGCACATTCAAATTGCAAGACAACAATGGCTAAAGCTTCAGAAAGCAAACTTTTAGTTTGTTTTTTGTTCATTCTTTTCATATAAAGATGTAAATAAACTTTCAGTTCTCAAAGAAATATATAAAAAGCATAAATTTGGCAAATTATTTTCAGATTGTTGTCTAGCGTTGTTTTAATATTATCGACTTATCATTAGCTTACTAAGAACCGAAAAATCGAACCAAACCAACAACAATCAAACCGATGGTTTGTATTTAATTTGGTTTGGTTTTGGTTTTAAAATTTTAAAAACCGATTAAATTGGTTTGGTTTTGGTTTTAATCAAAAACCGACCAAACCGAACCGTGAACACCTCTAGCTAAAACCATAAAAAAAATATCATATAATAAAAAAGTATTGAATTGATGAGGAAATTGAAAATTCAAGGGCAAAAAAGATATTGTGTACGATAAAGGGGGGAGAATGATTATTGTTCAAAGTTGAGGGGGGGGGGGGTTTGATTTTAACACAAAGTTAGGGAGGGTAAATAATTTTCACCCATTTTTGAGGGCTATTTACATAACTTTTCAAATATGGGCAAAATCTAATTAATGGCCTAAAAAAGAGACATTTGCGTAAATCAATCCTCTTTACTCATTGGATCACTCGAAATTTGGCCCAAAAGTAAATTCCAACCCACTGGGCCTCGTTATGCACCAGTATATAACCTCACAAATTAGGGTTTTTTTCCTCCTTAGGGCTTCACAACTTCAAGCAGCTTCAGAGCTTATCGTCGAGAACCTCCAACCGGTGAAAATGGTACGATTCTACTAAGAAATATTCTAATCAATACAAATGTAAGCTCGTAATTTTATTTACTGATTTAGTTCCAATATTTTTCTTATGTAGCCGTCACATAAGACATTTATGATTAAGAAGAAACTGGCGAAGAAGCAGAGGCAAAACAGGCCCATTCCTTACTGGATTCGTATGAGGACTGATAACACTATCAGGTATTTCAATTTGCAGTAAAAAAATTTAATATTTTTTTTGCTGATTTATGTTTGTTTCACTAATGAAATTATATTTTGTTCATTTCGCTAATGAAAATTTGATTTTGTTTTTTCAGGTACAATGCTAAGCGCAGGCACTGGCGTAGAACCAAGCTAGGGTTTTAAGGTGGAAGAGTCGAGCTTTATTCATGATTCTAATGAAAAAACTTGTTGGATTATGTCCTTGTTTTGTGATGAAACATGATGTGTTTTAATTTCAATGGAGTTTATACATTGAATGACGGTTTATGAGTTTATTTCTGGTTAATTCTAGATGTTTTAATGCTGGTTTAATGGTGGTATTTGTTGATTACTTTCATGCATTGAATAATCTGTATGTGATTTTCACTTGTGTGGCAGCATTGGTGAAAAGTGGAATTTGTGTGGTCAAAATTTTCCTATATGCTTAGCTCTATGCTAGAATTAGCCTGATCAAGCCCTTTGCCATGTGGACTAAGCTTTGTATTAAGTGTATAAAGGTAGAGGAGCTGGCTCGTTATCCCTGAGTTTCGAAGACCGGTTAGTCATAAGTTTGGTCCCAGACCAATTTCCTTTCCATAAGAAAAAACACTAGAATTTACCTATGATATTGTTAGAATGTTTGTGTATAAAAGGAAAGCATGATTGACAAGAAATGAAATAAAGAAACAAATTTTTTTGAGAAGAGGTAATGAGTAACTCAGTGGTGAAGAAATGCAAAGAAGAAGCAAGGATATGACTATATACTAGGTTTTGGTTTGGTTGTTGCGAGGGTACCGGAGGCTCCTGGTTAGTTTTACTTTAAGTTCAGTTATTTTTTTGAGTTATGTTCATGGTATGAATTGAGAGGATTGAACTTATCAGTATAGTGATAGCTAAAGTTTTCTCTTGAATTGGAGTATTATTTCCAGGATTACTATTAACAAGTAGGGAGTAGCATAGTCGCTTGTTCTGTTTTGTTGCTTTTTTAGGTTTCAATATTAAGTTGAAGGTAGCTTAATTAGGTGATGTTTTGCTGGAGAAAGTGGAAAAACTTTGCTCGGGAACTGTTGCGCACGAATTGAAAAATGAAAAGATAATTTGGGAAAATGTAACCTGCCAATGAGTTTGGAGACAGAGCTAGGTCTTTATTCATAGAGAAAAAGAAAAGAAGCTTTTAGTCGGACTAACTTGCCTTTAGACAGTTTTGCATTTGCTGTAAAGAGGAATAAAGTGTCTCTGCCATTAAAGCAAGCCTAAGTAGCAGCTTGGGGGCCTTTTTAGAATGAAAATTACTCTATAGTTAAAGCACCATAGTGGATGTTTACTTGTACGATTTATTTGTTTTTCCAATTTATAAGGTTCTGCTAGTCCATTTTACCTTCTGAGTGTTTGTAAGTGAATTGACCAAAAGTTTGACTTGTTTGAGACCTAAATTTTTTGGCCAAATGCTTAACTAGCTAAGACTCTCAATCTGGGATTACTTGGCACATTGATTACCTGCTCATTAGTGGCTGGTGGTATGTGCTTGCAGAGTAATGGTGTTTACATCAATTATTAGGTCATAAACCCTTTGGAACCGCCCAATAATACTAGTTTCTTTTTTGATGAAGAGCAATTATATTAGTTTCGTTTTAATTTTCAGTTTTTTCTTTTTGACTTAGATAGTCTAGCCAAGGCTAGGGCGGGTTTGAGAATCAATTCAACTAGTGCTAACCAAGCATTTGCCTGCTGGGTAATTGATGGTGTAGGGCCTTTTAAACCAGCTTGGGCTCTCATCGTTCATTGGTGCGAGAGGGGTTTCAGGTTTACTCAGTTAATTCAATTAACTGGCTAGCCAGTAAGCATTATGCATCATGGGAAGATTGATATGTTCCATCTAATAGGCATGACATGGAAATGCAGGGGACAAGGCACAAACTGTATAATCTTTAGGGGTTGTTTGGTACAAGGGATATGGATAATAATCCCGGAATAGAATTTGAGATTGTATTTATCGTATGTTTGGTTATAGGTATTATCTAATTGTGGGTGTTTTACGCTATAATGGTGGGATTAGCTATCCCATAGAATGGTGTTGGTAGCTAATTCCATGGAATATCCCATCCCATGGGATATCCTTGTTTATCCCACCAATGTACCAAACGACCACCTAGAATATACCAGCCCTGCCTATCTATTTACTTTACATTGCAAGAATTTTGAGGCAAGGACTAATACATTAGATTGCATAGACATCTGAATTTCTGAAAGAGTAGCATGATTGACTCTTCTCAGCAAGCTTTATATAGGGGTCTCAGATTATTGTTTGATCAATTTGATTGTACTGGTCCTCTTGACTTGGTCAGAGCTTCCATACATTGTATTGCCCTTTCAAATAGTTTTGCTCTTTTTCCCTAAGTTTTAGGCGGGACTGGGTCTCTTTAACACAAGGTATAGAAGTGGAGAGGGTTTTGCTGGGATTTTGAATTTTGCAATGCATTGGCGTATCTTTCCTGAGCCGAAGGTCTATTAGAAACAGCCTTTCTATCCCACAAGGTAGGGGTAAGGTCTGCGTACACACTACCCTCCCCGGACCCCACGGTGTGGGATAATATTGGGCATGTTGTTGCTGCAATGCATGGGGTAGGCTCGATCACCAGGTGGAAGTTCAATCCCCTGTTTTAACACAGAGAAGGCTGGAACTGTGCGATACTTAAAATGTATTCTGGACTATGATTGCATACAGCAATTGGTTCTACTGTGCCTAGAGTTAGAATTTTGTTTAATGCTCAAGTAACTTCTCAGTGAATCTGATTGGTGTATTATTCTTGCTTCCCTTCGTTTTTTTCAAACACGATGCTGGTCGCAACATTCATTTTTATCCCAAAAAGTTACAAACTTTATTGAAAAAATGGAAATTTCATAGGCATTAATGTGAGACCTATGATTTTGTTTGTTAATGTCATTAAACAATACGTTGGGTTGAACTTGCAAGCGATTGTGCACGACTTCTGAGTAAATAGGCAAATCTGTATGTCAAGGTGCTATCATAATTCAAAAAGAGAGCTTAGGTTTTGATTTGTGCATTTTCACTCCCAACCTAGTGTCAAAACTGAAGGATACTGCCATAAAGCAACTGTCTTTGGTTAAATCTTCATTGCTGTTCATATAGACAATTTGGTTTTTGTTGATCTCCACATTCTCAACGAGAAAGCTGAAAACAAAGTATAAACAGTAATTATCTAGTATTTCTTGCAAAAATAGGTGGCTCTATATAGTGCAATTAACTGGCATGATGGTAATACATTCAAACCTTTCTATCACATCTCTATAACAGTCTCATTTATTCCGTTATTTTTTGGTTGTTATAATGAAGTGCTGTTGTAGAAAACATATATTATAACATAACATGAGAAATTGGTTCCAAGAAAAACTTAGCTGTTATAGTAAAGAGTTATTATAAAGGATGACTGATATAGAGAGGTTTGACTGTAAATGTTTTTTTGGGACCGCGAAAACTCAATAAGTCACAAGTGTATTTTCTTACCACCTGCTAAAATTGGCTGAGTAATAAAAGACTGAATCTCAAAAAGGTGTAGAAGTGGGGGCATTTGCATCTATACCCGCTTTTTGAGTCACGTTTTAACTTGTACCCGCTTTGCAAAAAAAATTGCAAGCGCACCAACTTTTTCGCGTAACTTCAGCATACGGCCTGAAGTAGCAGAGGCAATCACGCAAACTTCAGCATTCTAGTAGACGGGCCTGAAGTAGCAAAAATTGTTGAACCAAGTGTGTTGAAGTTTTTGTTTATAATTGCTGAACTTAAGCATTCTAGTGCTGAAGTTTTGTTCTCCATTTGCTGAAGTTTTTATTTGTAATTGTTGATAAACATTCTAGTAGCTGAAGTTTTGTGATGCTGAAGTTATTTAGTTCATTTGTAAAAACTTTAGCACTAAATAAGCTGAAGCTTTTTTGTCCTGAATTCATTAGTTTTGTCATTAAGCTTTTTCAAAAACTTCAGCAGGAGATGTTGAAGTTATTTAGTTCATTTGTAAAAACTTCAGCACTAAATAAGCTGAAGTTTTTTTGTCCTGGATTCATTAGTTTTGTCATAAAGCTTTTTCTAAAACTTCAGCAGAAGATGCTGAAGTTATTTAGTTCATTTGTAAAAACTTCAGCACCAAATAAGCTGAAGTTTTTTTTGTCCTGGATTCATTAGTTTTGTCATAAAGCTTTTTCAAAAACTTCAGCAGGAGATGCTGAAGTTATTTAGTTCATTTGTAAAAACTTCAGCACTATATAAACTAAAGTTTAAAAGCTTCTAACAAGGATACTCAATTTCAAATACCTAACCACTTCTAACACTCATCTAACTTATTGCTAGAAAAAAGTCTGGAACATTGTTTCCTACTGGTTTTGTATGTATATGTTAATAGAGTTCTTATCTTGATTGTATTGTTTATCCAGGAATTTCACATGACGCTGAACATGATTTCAACGGAGACTCACTCAGCAGTGCTTGAAGTTATAGAATCTTGTAGGGTTCGGTGAGAGCACAGGAACTCTGACATTATCTTTTCCTTCTGCACCTTGTCCTCAATATGAGAAGAAAGAAGAAGAAGAAAACGAAGGAGGAGAAGGAGGAGGAGAAAGGGGGCTGAAGTTGTTTAAAAAGTGGGTACAAGTTAAAACTTTACAAAAAAAAAGATATAGGTTAAATGTGGGTGACCAAATAGGGCGTCCGTGCAATTTTTACGTAAAATTTTTATTTATTTGTAATACTTTAATTAGAGATGAAGAAAATAGAAAACTCTTGTTTTTATTAATCATGCAACTAGAAATACAGTAGACTTGGACAAAAGTCTCTAAGTATGAGTTTACAAAGGTGTTAACTCTTTGTGGATACAACTTGATCTCCTACAAAAACTCCCAAAGAGTTTTGACTTCAATTGGGATAAAAGTTCAAACAACCAAGTAAAGAGTAACGACAACTGCTGAAATGTTCACTATTAACTAATTAAAGTATATTTAGTATTTTTCCATGCTCGAACAAAGGGTAAATTTTAGGATAATACTGTATATAATACTCATTATTACTTCACAAAAAAAAAACTTAAAGGAAAACCATAGACATTTTTTGAGTCCATTTCCTGTCAATATGAAGCCAAATTTAAGGACCCTATGTGATCTAATGGTCAATAGAACAACAAACAACAATAACAACCCAGTAAAATCACAAGTGAGGTCTAGGAAGGTAAAGTGTACACAGACTTTACCCTTACCCAAGGGAGTAGAGAGGCTGTTTCCGATAGACCCTCGGCTCAAGGAGACCTAATAGTCAATAAAGTGAACAA